GGGTGTTATGTGGCACGTGCTTGTCTGTTTGAATTCTGGGAGTTGAAGTCCACACCTCTTCAAGTGGCCAAGGCTGAGAAACACTGTCGTGCTGAATCAGCATAGTATGTGCAGATCCAAGCAGGGTGGCCTTTCGTAATTGATAGATGGAAATTTGGTCAATGCGCCAATTTTATAAGTACAATCCAAGGCTTTTTGGTGTGGCACCGAGTGCGCCGATAACCACTGGGACCACTGTGGCCATTTAATGCCATAATCTTTCAACTTTGATTTTCAGATCTTGATACTTTGTGATCTTCTCCACTTCTTTGTCTTCTATTCTACTATCCCCTGGTATTGCCATGTCGATTATCCAATTATCAATTATACTTTCTTCTTTTCAACCAGTTAAAACTGGTGTGCTGTGCGCCAAATCTGGTGTGCTGGTTTTAATAGTTCCTTACTGTTTTAATGTTTTTAAGGCTTTTTATTGTTAGTTTTTGAGTTATTTTGGGTATTGTTTTTTGGGTTTTAACTCCCTAAGCCACCAGAATCACATATGCGAGATTGAAATTAGCTCTCTGCTAATGGCAATGAGTCCCAGAACTGAATTATCTGCAGGCTTCTGTGCCATTAATTCCATCCATCTTTAAGATGCTATGATCTCATTTGTTATTTTAGTATTATCCTGGGAGTTGGAGGAAATTTCTATGAACGCTAAGACTACTTTTGTCTTTCATAGTGACGAGTGGGATGTGGCAAAGAAAAAAAAAAGAGGGCAGTAAGAACCAAGAAGAACCCCCAAAATAGATTGAAAAAGCTTATGTGCATACAACCAGGTGGAGCTTTGATTGCATTGTCATAGCTGCCATCTTGACTTTTTTGACCACACCTTGGGGATACCCCTAGTTCCACTGAAGTTTTTTTGGCACCTGCTCTTTCCTCCAACTTTCCTCCAACTTATCCCTCCCCTACCACCATCAGCAACTTCCTGGTCTGCAATCTTGTTGCTGGGAGATGTTGCCCAGAGTCCCTGGGAGTTGGGTGGCATATAAATTTAATAATCAATAAATAGTAATGAGGATGATGTTCTTGGAAATACCCTGCAAGATTTGTGCCATTCCCTATTCTTTGCTGAACCCTGTGACTTGTCAAAAAGTGGCACCTTCTGTGCTGCTCCATTTTTATTGTTTCAATTAAACAATAAAAAGTTTCAGATCTTCCTAATATCCGATTCTTTTTATCGCTTCTTTCCTTTGAATTAAACACACATATGCAGGAACCCACACCCCCATGCACAGAGTAAAATAATGCCAGGTTGTCTAGAAGCCTGAATCCTGCACAGAGGACAAATGGCACGAATTATAAGTGATCGGATGCTAGATGTCATCTGAAATACATTTTCTAGTTGCAGCTAGTTCTGGACCATTGAGTGTGGATCCAAAGGGGGCCTTTAGCAAGTGGAATGCATTTCTTTACCTTGGAAAAGGATGCGGGTCTTTTTCAGCAAGGGGAAGGAATCTATTACTGTTCTGCATTTGTGCAGAAAAAAATGGTGTTTTCATTTGTGCACCGAAGACAGCAATTTCAGAAACAAAAATTGGTCACATTTCCAGTCTACCAGCTTGTGTTGAATCTCACCAAATTTCTGGTTGAAAATATTCTCTCCAAGATGCATAGTGAATCTTTCTCTTTCAGCCAGTCTCCCTTTGAAAAGTATGGTTTAAATCCAGCACCAGTGAATTATAGAACCTTGCTTAACCCACCCTTTCTCTGCCAGTGTGGAAGACAATCTCTAGCAAATCTTTCCAGGGCTGAGAGTGGTCTTGGCTTTTAAAAGTATTGCTTTGGACCAGGGCTAAAATTCAATGGATTACATCACATCTACAGTTAAGCAGAACGAACGCTAGGTATAATGAACCTGAACCATTTCCAGTCATGTAGTTAATATTCTATGCCAAATTCTTGATTACAATTACATACCAACTTTTTTTCTTGAGGCTACACCTAAGACTTTTGGGGGCCTCAACTATGCATCTCAGGATGTTTGGCCCACTCCAAGAACTTATGGGTGTTGTAGTCTAAACCAGTGTTTCTCAACCTTGGCAACTTTAAGACATGTGGGTCGCCTATCACCTCAATTTCAAGCTGGCTGGGAAATTCTGGGAGTTGAAGTCCACACATCTTAAAGTTGCCAAGGTTGAGAAACACTGGTCTAAACATGTGATGCTCTCTGGTCTAACTAGATCTAACTAGGTCAGTTCTCTCCAAACCAGATGAATTAAATTTTGGACAGATTGCGCTCTTGAAGATCTTATAAAGCAGATTCTTCTCTGCATCCTATAGTTTCCTTGCTGCAAAGCACTGGCTCCATTTAAGTTTGACCAGGGTTTTCTTTATTAACTGAGAGAACTTTGGCATGTTCTCTTTTCCTCTTTATTTAGTCCTGACATCATGGTCTGCTCTTGAGTTGATCAATATGCAGCAGTAAATTAAACCTGGAGGCATCTGAAGAGCTTTCAGGAGGGAAGCGGACGAGAAAGGAAACTTGACAAGTCCAGCATCCGCCTTTTCAGTTGAGAACTCTGAGCGGTGCGCAGCACTTGGCCACAACTTTGGAACGGGAAGTGGGTCATCGGCTGCCAAAACGCTGGGTCAAAAATAGACCCCTGCCAGGGCGTTCTGCCAGACAGGACGGAAGTCCTTCACTGTCCAAATCCTTAGGGGACCATCGCCTCTGTCAACACACCTGTGCAATGTTTCCTGGTTCTGGTCTTTATATATGGAATGCTGGGATGTAACCGTGCCTGGCAGGATTGGCGTCTTGAGAAATGGCACGATCTCTCCGGCTTTCTCATGCAGACCTTCTGTCGTATTTCCTTGCCTTGGCGCGATTCAGAGAATGGGCGGCAGGGACAATGTGTATCTTTCCCTGAGGACCAGTGGAGGCATTGCTATTTCTGCATCAGGCTTGGCCCTTTTGTGATTCAGCAAGGCTTTTCCAGATGAACACAAATGTCCTGTATGCCCCTTGGAAATTGTGATCTCAGACCGCTTCTGTTTCATTTGAGGTGATTGATGAAGAGAGTATCCTAGAACATCTGCTTGTCCCCATATTTATTGGGAGCACAGATCTTTCCAAGAAATCCCTTAATTGGCTTTTCATTTCTGACTCTTGCCCTTAAGAGTTGACTGAGTGAGCTCAAACACTCTTCTTCTTCTTCCTTTCATGGAAGTTGACTATCAAATTAGTCCCTCAATGTTTTCCAAATCTGTCAAAATGTATATCTTTTGACAAACTTTACACTTAATTTAATTAAAGTTAATACTAATTTTAGTATTAATTTTAATTTGTTTTAACTTGATAGATTCCTTTTTTTAATGGGATCCAACCGGCTGAGGGTGGATGGTGGAGTAGGAAATGAATGAATAAAACAAGGAAATAAAATACTGAATGGACTTCTTTTCTGCATCTGCGTCTGAAAAAAAAAAAATCAGCAGTATGGACCGGAATGAATGCTCCTGTTGGTCTGTATGCCCTTCCCCAAATAGTACAAATAGGAAAAAATATTTTCTGCATTTACCAATTTATACAGCTGCCCACCTCACAATGCAGTGGCTCTAGGCGGTGAACAAGAATGAAAACAAAAAATAAAATACAGTATAAATGACCACCAGAAAAAAACTACCATATGTGCAAGGTCTAAAAACATTCCCCTTCTAATCGAAACAGATCAGCTAGGAAAGCTCGCTTAACCTCCCAGCCCAAACACTGGGGGGATGGACAACCAGATCTTCGATGCCTTGTGAAAGGTTAACAGAGTCGGGGCCATCCAGGTCTTTGGGAGAATGCTGTTCTACAGAGCAGGCACTGCAACCGAGAAGGCATGAAGTCTGCCCTTCCTGTTTGCAGGAGGGAGAAATCCACCTGTTTGCAGAAAGCTGGGGCAATGGCTTTCAGTACGTAGAAAAACCTGTTTTGATCTCCAGAGCTGCTTAGGTTAGGGTGCATTTAGTTGCTTTAAAGTGGGGTGGGTTCAAATGCAACATTGGGGTGCTGAATCTAGCAGAGGCTTAAGGCCGCTGGGTTTGTTTTTATTCCGGAAAGCGGGCACACCTGGGTACCGAAATGGCATTGTGGAAAATCAACACATTTGCTGTTGCACATTGGCGGTGATGCTTGGAGGCTGCTCGGAGAAATCGGGTTGCTCTTTGCTGTGATGGAGGATCGAGAGAATCGCTGGGATTTGGATGGCATATAAATTCAATATGCCATCCGATATATGTTCAATATATTCAATAATAAATATTCAATATTTAGCATTGAAGATTTTACCTAGCCGAGTAATGAAACATTTGCAAGAAAAGAACCAAGCTCAGAGAACCCCAAGGACGAGTAATGAAACATTTGCAAGAAAAGAACCAAGCTCAGAGAACCCCAAGGACGAGTAATGAAACATTTGCAAGAAAAGAACCAAGCTCAGAGAACCCCAAGGACGAGTAATGAAACATTTGCAAGAAAAGAACCAAGCTCAGAGAACCCCAAGGACTCCAAATTCAATAAATTATTATTTTCAGATTTGGATGTGTTTCTTCTATCTGTTGCCAACGCAGCATCCTTATCAAGTGGGACTTTTGTCCAATGCTCAGAAGAGTTCAGACAATGCTTCTGGTTGAAGGTGGGCAGTAGGCGTCCATGTTGCCTCTTGCTCCTTTCGTTATAGATTCCTGAATCTGCTTAGATTCTCTGTTGGTTTGGACAGGGACAGGTTCCTTTCTCAGATCCCCCTCGGTTATCCCCTCTGACTCAGGCCTCCTTCCCTTCCTGTTGCAGCAAACGCAACTTTTGAACTGGGAGCTACGTGGATCCACGGTTCCAATGGAAACCCAATCTATCATCTAGCAGAAGATAATGGCTTACTTGAAGAGACAACAGATGATGAGCGGAGCGTGGGTCGCATCAGCCTGTACTCCAAGAATGGGGTCGCCTATCACCTCACCAGCAGCGGTCAAAGGATCCCGAAAGATGTGGTTGAAGAATTCAGTGATTTATACAACGAGGTTTGTAGCTCAAGGCTCTGGAAAAGCCTTCTCTGATCTCTGGCTATGCCTTAAGTTCATTCTCCCCCCTTTCTTATTTTATTTATTTATTTAAAGCGCCTACATGGCCATCTATCTCACACAGTGATCTTAGGCAGCTCCGAACAACCAATGAAAACAATCTTATGGTAGGTAGCAAAGAAGGACAGTCTTGCCCCAGATCACCCAGGAAGATCCAGTTCTCTCTGATGGCGTTACTTTGCTATGAGTGCTGTGGGATGGGGAAGGGTGCACTGAGGAACCCATAGGTATCACTGCACTTTGCCGGCACATTCACATTTCAATTTCCCTCGGCATCTGTTTCTCCACATAAAGCCTTTTCACACTGGGACTGAAGTCTGACCTTCAGGATTCAGCAGGAATCCAGATTTCCTGGGCCTTTTCTCTTTGTAGGTGTGAAATGTAATTCTGACCAAAGTCTTTGTCCTCCTGTGCTGTGCAAAATAGTCCTCAGCCCAGCCATGGCATTTTGAGCTTGTTACAGATATGGCTTGGGGAGGTGGGTTGGACCCCTCGCCCTTCCTCCTTGTGTGTGGCCAACAGGACTTGATGGAGGGGACCATCAAGGGTGGGCTTGTACATGGGTCAGTAGCTCTAATCCAGGACCTTAATCACTGTGCCACACTGGTTTAGCATTGATTTGCTTTCTCTCCAGTTTGATTTAATATGTAGCTCAGCTCTTGCTAAGCAAGATTCAGACTACACAGCTGAAACAGCTGAGCACAGAACAAAAGCAGGGAAGGGAGGATATGGAGGAGGGATGGAAAATCGGAAAGGCCATTGAGATGTCTGTGTCCATATCCTCCCCCCGCTCGGTGCAAACATCCAAATTTAAGCATCCCAGATAAGTGATGGAATAGCCTCTATGTGAATGCAACCCATGAAAGGGATCCCATGGTGTGTGTGTGTTTGTGTGTGTCTGCACTGGGGAAAGTCAAGATGGCCAGGATCACATGATCAACATCCCACCCCTTTTTGCTGCGTGCCATGCATGCACATAAAAAGGGGTTGGGCTTTGACCACATGATTGCAGCCATGCTCTTGATTTTTTGACCCCTCCCTGCAGATACTTGTGGGAGCCCCCCATCTCCCATGGATCATGGGTTCTGCTGTTGCTGCTGTGAAGCTTTTTCTACGTTCAGTCAGAACGGGGGGTTTTCTTCTTCATGACTCTGTGCCCTGTATTTTGGGGTGAAAGAGAACAGGTTTAACCTTTTCTGCAACGTCCTGAATAAATGGAGTTTTTCTCCTTTCACAAACTTAGGCCATTCTTTGAAGCTAAATTTGGCAAGGGAAGGAAAAAAAAACTTCTTAATTAAGATCATTCAGTTGTAGGATTTATTGCCGGTGAATGGGAAAATAGCCAGATTAGATGGCTTTGAAAGAAGATTGGATCAATTCTTGGAGGGTCTGTCTGCTGTTCATCACATCCTGAATTATAGAAGCACCTCTTAAATGCCAGCTTCTGGGGAGGAACAGCTGGGGATGATATTGGCCCAATTAACAATATTGATGACTTTCCTGATATCTCAAATTGTAGTACAGAAGATGGATTATTTGGGCCTCCTGATGTTCTTAAGTAAATCACGTGCATGGCTCTTTCTCCTAAGGACCTCTGTCTGGAATTCCAACCTTAGAGACTGTCAGCACTCAGCCCATTAGCTTGTTTATTAAAGGCTGGGGCGCTGGGGGCCTGTATTCATTAGATCCTCTTAGAGCATTCCTAGCATCCTTTAAAATGCTGGGAATTAGGATCAAGGTATTAATTAAAGCTCTACAGTCCCCTCTCTAGCCTTGGGACTCTGCACCAGTGATTTCAGACTGCTGTTTAAAAATTAGGCCTTTTGGTTTGCTCAATACATGCAAATCCAAAGGGAGTAAAACACTGGCTTTATTTGATTTGGCTTGTCTTGCGAAGGTGTGATCTGCTTCCTTTTGGCAAGCTGCTTAGGAAAGCTTAAGCAACTTTGTGCTAGGCAGAAGTTTCTGTCAGTTTTTACAAGAATAAAAATGGTTGTTATTATTTTGCCAGGGAGAGGGTTCCAAGGCTAGGAGATAGGGCCTGTGTAGACTGCTGAAATTTCCTTGTGCCCTGTAGTGCCAAAGGACCAATAGTCATGTTACATGGCAGACCTTTAGACATTCTCTGGCTGGGATATCTTGTCCCTTCGGTGTGTTTCTGTGGCTGCAAAATCAAAGCTTTCAGCAGGCCCCCTTTCCTCTCTCTGCTCATTTCTGGGAATGGATACATAGCATTTTCCAAGCTGTTCCAAGCTTCAGTGGCAATGCCATTTACTTTGCCAGGAGGAAAGTATCAGTGATATTGGAAACAGAAGGTTGAGACTCAAGAGAGAGTGGCAGATAGAAGATCTGGATTTTGATGTCCTCAGCCTTCGCTTTTGCACCTCTCGCTAGATATTCCCCATCTCTGTTGGATAGCACAAGCTGTTTTTCTTAGAAAGGGGAAGTCACCTGCTGAAGGCCGTAAATGCTAAGGCATGGTTGGCAAGGCTAATGCCCTCCCCTTTCCTCTCTGATGTCCAACTTGGTATCCAACCAGCTTATCTGTAGGGAAGTTGTAGAAAGGGAGCTGGGAAGGAGCTGTATTATCATGTGCATGTTGATGAGCACACGGGTAGCCCTGCGGTTGATCTGAGTTTTCTTGGGTGATTAAACCTCTTTTTTTACACACCTTCTCTCTGTCATGAAACAGGTCTATAACCTGACTCAGGAGTTTTTCCAGAATGGTAAACCAGTCAATGCCGAGAGCAAGAATAGCGTGGGTATCTTCACGCGAGATGTCGTGCGCAAACGCATCAAGGATGATCAAGACGACTCGGAGACGATCAAGAAGCTGAAGCTCGCCATGATCCAACAATACCTGAAAGTAAGGAGGTGATGGGAGCCGGTTTGGTGTAGTGGCTAAGGCACCAGGCTTGGTGGGACTACAGCTCCTAGAATTCCCCAATAGTTTCTGACTGACAGCAATTGTGCTGAGAGGTGTTCAGTTTGTGGTCCACAAGTGAGGTCCCACATTGGTGACAGCTGCAGTGTCTATGTTGCATAGCTCAGATATTGATGGGGACCAAGAGTAAGCCAGTATCCATGCCGTTGGATGCCCCACCAAACATTGCTCGTTGCATCAGATCAGAAATCAGGGCCGTAGCAGCTCATAAGGACACTTGGCAGATAGTCAACTGTATTCAGTTGGTAAGAGCTAGTTTGGGGTAGTGATTAAAGGCATGAGATCAGAAGTTGGGAAATGGTGAGTTCTGGTCTTCTTTCAGGCATGAAGCCAGCTGGGTGACTTCGGGCCAGTCTGACTCTCTCTCAGCCCTAGGAAGAAGAAGGCCAGGGCAAACCCCTTCCCAAAAAGCTGCCAAGAAAACTTGGTAAAGAGTGCTGTGACATCAAATGACATCCATAAACCCAGAACTAGTGAAAGAATCCATATCAGCAGTACTATATAACACACCCGAGTTAACCAGATAAACCCAGATCGAAATACCCAGAATCATGGACCTCATCAACCTCTGCCTCACCAC